AATTTGCTCTCTCATTTTATTCAAGACATACTCATAGAGGTCCCCAAATGCTCAAGGTTGACTAAGAATTGACCAGACAAATTCTCCTCATAAGCAGTAAACTTCCAACTAGGGTTTCACTTTTCACAAAGAAGTTTGGGTTTCAAAGGCCTCAAGTGAATTCCATGGTTCCTAATATGTCCTCAATAATATCCATTCCAAGTTTCATGCCTTGCATCACAAGTTTGCTCAGTCAATGGCTCAAATGTTTCAAAATCAACTGTATTGGTCAAAAAGTCAACTATGGTCAACATGCATCAAACTTCAAGATTTTTGGTCAAAATAAACATTTTGAAGTGATATCCATCATTTGATTAATGGTTGATCAAGATTCCTCAAGGAATGCTCTCAAATCATCAAGAGTCCAAAAGTGCAAAATTAGGGTTTCCTATGAAAAGTCAACTGAACTTTGACCAAATATAACTTTCACATGCTTCATCCATTTTGCCCAACCCAAAACTTATTATGAAGAAAATTCAATTCCCTACAACTTTTCTTTTATCCTCAAGTTCAAAAAATGCATCATTAGAAAGATATGAGCCAATACACTACAGGTATTTTTGAAAGTCAACAAAAAAGCATTTTTTGTCAAGGAGAGTTACATCAAGATAATTTCTCCAAATTCAAAAATGGTAAACATAGAGATTGTAGGATACATCTTTATATTTCTAAAAAGTAAAAGATCATCTCCAAAAGATAAAAATTGAGCAAGTTATGACTAGTACAAATTGGGCAAATTGGTGAAAATGCAAAAAAGTCAACTTTGAGAAAAATGCATTTTTAAGTTCATGGACCTATTTTGTGGGATTCAAATATGTTTATGACTTACTCAAGGATCCCTAAATTCAGTCTCACCTTGCTTTTCATTTTTTCTCTCTATTTTATTCATATTTATTTTGTTTTTATTCAAATAAACACAAAATAAATTGCATAAAATAATAAATAAAAAGTATGGACACATGGGCTGATGATTTGGGTTGATATTGGGCCTTAGAATTCGTGAAAGGCATGGGGAAAAAGACCAGGTTTATTTCATCTCAAGAAGGGCAAGTTTTTCACAATTTTGGAAGTATTTTAATATGTTTGATATTGCTTTGAAATGGGGTCATTACGTGTGGATTCTTGCCATGTTTACTCACCATTTCATCCCTCTATAAATAAAAAACAAAAGCATAAGTCAAATACACCTAATTTTTCACCAAATCTCTCCAAAACAAATTCTCCAAATTCGAAGAAATTGTGAAAATCATATCTCCCATCTCCAGCGGTTTTCAAACCGATCCAAACCTTTCATTGTCCTCCTGAAGGCCAGGAGTCAGAATCAATCATTATCCTTTGCAAATCAACCCCAGAAAACACCCTCACATCGATTTCGGTTGGTGAGTTGGTAGGTTTCATGTTCTCAATATTTTCACACTTTATATCCATGTAAACATGTTTGTTTCATTTATATGCATTTTCTGCAATTTTCTAACGTTTTACATGTAAGCATGGAGGCATAAATAACAATCATGACCATGGTGCATCCCAAAGCGCGTTTCCCACTGGATCAAAACAAAGCTCCTAGACTCATCCGTTTTAGACCCATTGTTCTCCTTCCTCACACCCCCTCCATTTACTTGTTCTCAGCAGGCCCATTTTCATTTTTTTTTGTGTTTTAATTAACTACTTTCTTTTTTAATCAATCTTATTTTAATTAAAAAAATCACAAAAACATTAGACTTAGGTTTTTATTAATTACTTTAATCACTTTTTTTAATTAATTAACTAATTCGAATTAGGGTTTTACAATTAATTTATTTTAATAAATCAAATTCAAATTATTATTATCACAAAATTCTTTTTTCTCATAAAAAGACCAAAAACATTTTTTCTTGCTTAAATTTTTATTTTTTTTCTATTTTGTCATTTAATTTCTTTTTTATTTATTCCTTTTCTATTTAAATTATAGAAAACAAATGTATAGGTCGCACGGGTAATTCTGTAATAGTCGTAGTTTACATTTCCTCGCATTTTTTCTATTATGTAACTGCTTGTGGGATGTAATAGTTGTAGGCCTTTACATTCTCGCATTTTATTTTCCGCACTTATAGTTATGTCTATATATATATATATATATATATATATATATATATATATATATATATATATATATATATATATATATATATATATATATATATATATATATATATATATATATATATATATATATATATATATATATATATATATATATATATATATATATATATATATATATATATATATATATATATATATATAAACTAGGACGTGTATGGCAAGATCTAAAAACAAAACGTTAGAAAACCTTAATATCAAAGATAAATAATAACTGAAACACAAAAACACTTCGCAGACAAGCACCTCTAAGGTACCTCCACTTGTTTCCTTCGAAAAACAATCATGTCCTTCGAACGTGGGACACTTTAGTAAAGACTCTCAGTTAAAAAGATCGTAGTCTCTTGATGACCCTCCAATGCTGCCTTCGGTAAACGATCTAGTCCCTTACGATAAAATTTCTAAAGTGCTCTACGATTTGTCTTTATGACTGTACGATGATCCTTTCCCATCCCTCACACATCTAACAATAGGGCTACCTACTCACTAATAGTAGGATAACACTGTCTAAAGGAAAAAGGAAAAGAACAAATCTTTCGAGTAAAGCAGATAGCTCCAAATTGCTTGCTCAAACAAAACAATTTATCACACATACACAGGATTTTTATAAACATTTTCAAAGATATGAAAACACTTTGTATACGTTCTCGTCGAAACGAGAAACATTACAAAGTTCACCGCACTAAGGCGTCTTTTCAAAATATCTTTAAAACACACTTACAAAAAAAGCATTTTCAAAGTGAGCTAACAACTAAGAGCCCGTAGATAACTACAGATGGAAAGGGTGCTAACACCTTCTCTTTCCGTAATCTACCCCCTTACTTAGAAATAATCTCAAAAGATATTTTTCTATTCTTTTCACCATTTTCTTTGTTGGATAAAAGAAAAGTCGATGGCGACTCTTGCTTACTGCAACATTTGTGAATACAAATGCAAAACCAGTATAACAGTCAGTTCTCCCACCGTATTACAGATGCTATGTCATCTATTTTTACAATTTAAAACGTTTTTTGTTTTATTTTACAAGTCCTACTTTATTGTTTTTAAATCCGTTTCGTCTTAGTGGAACAAACCCTTTTGAACATACTTTATGAAAACACTCGAAAACTGAAGCACTGTACTGAGATTCTCTGGTCGATCTCGCCAGTAAATTTTTCGTTAAGAGATCAGCGTTGTTTGCCAAAACCAGAGATAAACAACTAACCACCGTCATTTACTAAGGCCTGTGAGTATCTCCTACCTGAAATACTACACACACCTGTATTTTTTGACAAGTACATCCATCATGTGTTATATTGTCTATGAGAAAGTTTGCTTTCTTAACCACTTCGCCCTTACATACCTCATATTTAAGGAGTTCTAGATCGTCCTATTTTATTTACATATTACCATTATCTAAAACACTTAGGCCTTACAAGTCTAGTTCTTGAGAGACTGTGAACTATGACAAGTATAATAACCTAAGATCCACGTATCACAACGACCTCGATCCAACATTCTATAGTCACATTGGATATGTAGGAGATCTTAGAATGAGAAGCGACAAATTAATCACACGCTCGACACGTGGACAAATAAGACACATCATGAGTGATCATAAAAAGGCTACCCACCATGACTCGTGATGGAGTGGGTCAAACTTACAAAATTCAAGACATAATGTACTGACAATTGTGATTTTTATTAAGTCTAAAAGACTATAAGAAACTATAAATATCTATATAGGATTCACAAATCATACACTTAAAACTCTTAATTAAGCTATCATCAATAAAATTTATACTTTTGCACTCATTGCAAATACAACTCTACTTTTAAAAATCTCTAAATTATTCGCGACGCTAAGGGAGTTCAATGAAATCATACCTAGAGACACACTAAATAAATGACATATGAAATTAAAACTCCAAAACATGTATGTACATACCAATTACTAATGTTTTATCCAATTATTATTAAGGTTAAATATATTTGTGATCCCTATAAATATCTTAACTTTCATTTTTAATTGTTCTAAAATTTTCCTTCAAACAATGATCATTCTAAATTTTTTTGTCCTCAATTGTAATCCCTGTTGTTTTTTTTGTCTAACGAAAACTGACATGACATTACTACGTGACACGTCGCGTCAATGAAAGTCAACACTACAAAAAAACAAGATAGTTTGCGGAAGTTTAAAACCCCATTTAAATAACTGAAAAACAATTAAAAAAAAATCTTCTTCCTTCTCTTCCTCTCTCTCTCTCTTCATCCACCAAAATCATCTTGAGCTAATTGACAAATTTTTGGGATAAACCCCTCCAAGTTAAACTGGTAAGTTCCATCAATCTATAAAATTTGAAACATGTTAAGTTTCAAATATCGTATCAGTCAAGTTGAGAAAGAATAAAGGAATTGTAGTTGATGATACATAAACTTTAGCCACTGAAGTTAAAGTTGTGTAATTGCTGAAGCAACAGTATAACAAACCTGATTATTTACTAATAGTTAGCTAGCTACTTGGCAATAGTGGCCTATACCAACAAACAAAAAAATAAAAATAAAAAACGAAAAACGGAAGATGCATTTATGGGTGTGTTTCTGTTAGGCCACGTAGACTAGAACATGCAAAGTGTCGTAACGTTTTGGATTTTCATTCATGTGGCTGTCCTTTCCCTCCCACCCTCACCCTCACCCTCAGATTCCAATTTCCGTATATAAATCAAAACCGAATTCTCCAAACTGATATTTGCTCTCACAAACTTCAAAATGCCCCAAAACCATTCTTCAATCTAGGGTTCAACACCCATTCCAATCTCAATTCTCTTCTCTTTCACTCCATGGAGTCCTTCTGCGTCAACTCTCTCTACGCTGTTTCTCCTCAACTCACTCTTTCGCCGCGAACCAACCGGCGAGTGCGAATTTCGAGCTTGGCTGCCGCAACTGGAAATTCTGTTCAAAACGGCGCCGTATTGAAGTCCAATAACAGTGCGCTGGAGCAACTTGACATCGAGCGTGGCGTTTGCATCCCTTTCCGCAAGTACTCTCCTGAGATTGTATGTTTTTTACCATTTCTCGCAGGGTTTCGGTTTCTTCTGTGTTTTACCTTTCTAATTTTCCATGTTGGCTTGTTAGGTGAGGAATAAGGTATTAGAATCAAGAGGAGCAATTTTGTCTCTAATTTCTCGGGGAGTGGAGATAGTTTTAAGTCTGGGCTTGTATTGGTCTGCCTTAGTGTATGATTTCCTAGTTGGAAGGGATGAAGAAGTTGTTCCATTTCGTGCTCGACAGCTTAGGAACCTCTTGTGTGACCTGGGCCCTTCCTTTATTAAAGCTGGTCAGGTGGGTTGCTGTTCAATTTTCTCAACCATTTCTTTCGTGTTTATTAATTGATCATAACATTTTTCTTTCTTTTCACAGGTCCTTGCAAACAGGCCCGATATCATTAGAGAAGATTACATGAATGAACTTTGCATTCTTCAAGATGACGTCCCTTCATTTCCTAATCAAGTAATCTGATTACCACGCCTCCACATTTTTTTAATCTATTAATGCTAACTGGTTGACATACAATCTTTCATGTCATGTATGGCATAAAAATGTCTTAGACTGCCTTCAATATCATAGAGGAAGAACTGGGTCAGCCCCTTGAAGCAGTTTTCACAAGAATCTCATCAGAGACAATAGCAGCTGCAAGTTTAGGCCAAGTTTACCGGGCTACTTTACGTGCCACTGGCGAGGATGTTGCTATAAAGGTTTCATTGCCCTCACTTTGTATTATAATCCTGTTATGATTTTCTTATTACTTGGTTTTTAGAAGTTCTGACATGACATCACATTATATTGCAGTTTTTGTAGCTTGATCAACTAATTCTTTTTAAAATTATCTGCATCATTTTTATTGGATGATTCATTAGAAGTTTAGTTGCTTTCTTGCCTTTCCTTGTTTATGTTTGTTGGTATACAAAATTTGAAATTTTCCTGCTTTCTAGTTATATTCGTTTTGCTGTCTCCTAATTATGATTGGAAAATTGACTTGGTTTAAGTATGTGATTAAAGTGATTCACATGTCTTGCTAAAATATAAACAAAGGGGAGAATCCATTTCTAAAGAAACAATTGGATGACGCAGGTTCAAAGGCCCGGGATAGAGCCCATAATTTATCGAGATCTCTTCCTGTTTCGCACTTTAGCTTCCTTCTTAAATGGCTTCAGTATACAGAAACTGGGGTGTAATGCTGAGCTGATTGTTGATGAATTTGGTGAAAAGCTTTTGGAAGAGCTCGACTATACACTGGTAACTTGCACAACTTTTTGTTTTTGTCATAGTAGTTTATTGTCTGCTTTGAACTTCTTAAAGCATCAAATGTGAGGGTTGCTTTACATATTGAGTGTGTTCTTTTCAGTATATATTTTTCCAAGCAACTGTACTGATTCCCCCATCTTTATTTCAGGAAGCCCGCAATATTGAAGATTTTCTAGAAAACTTTAAAAATGACCCCACTGTCAAAATTCCTCTGGTTTACAAACAACTTTCTGGGCCACGTGTATTAGTGATGGAATGGATAGATGGTATTAGATGCACAAATCCACAGGTTTGTAATTTGGAATATATTGTATCTGTTGTCAGTAAAAATGGTTTGTTATATTTCATAGATTAATAAATTTTTGTGACTCAGGCCATTAAAGAAGGTGGTATTGATCTAGATGGATTTCTAACAATTGGTGTTAGTGCTGCACTTAGACAACTATTGGAATTTGGATTATTTCATGGAGACCCTCACCCTGGAAATATTTTTGCCATGCGCGATGGACGGATTGCATATGTGGACTTTGGCAATGTAGCTGTTCTTAGTGAGGTAATTTTTTATATACTAAGCATGGAGGGAAATAATTGTGTTTCTTTTTCTCTGGCTATCTATCAGTAGTTGTGTTTCTGTGCTGTGAAGGTCATGTAGTGAAATGTTTAGCTGTGTTTATCCAGCAGACAACTGTGGAGTTAAGTTTAATATAAATAGATGGAGCACATCCAACAATATTCAGTTTTTTGTAGGTTATATTGAATATGTTCTAATTAAGGAATTACACGAGAATAGTATTTAAAAAAGGACAAGAAACTACAGAAAGATATCTATACAGTAATAGAGTCAAATCCTTAAATTGTTGTAATTATGCGCATAGGTCACCCTCTCTGTTGAATTATATCTGTTATTCTTATTCCTAAATTGCAAGTTCTTTAAGTTTCTATGTGTGAAGTCCTTTGGTGAATACTTTTACCAATCGAAGCCTTGTAGCAATATATGCTATAGCTATGCGACCACCTTCAAATTTCTCCTTTATGAAATGTCTATTTACTTTTGATTAAGATGAATAAAGTTGTTGGATCAGGAGGGTTTTTGCCAGTTCAAATCTGGGGTTTACATGCCAGATAAATAAAGCGGGGTGTAATGAAGGCACCTAAAGGGTGGACGAAATCAAGAGATCTGATACCAAATTGAAAATAGAGGAAAGGGGTCTAAATATTAATTTTCTGATTACTAAGTTTACTGGGTGTTTACAATGCATATATAAGTTATATCTAATCTAACCTAATTAAGGAATTACAAGGAAATCATGTCTTATGAAATCTGTACAAATCAAATCTATCCTCCTTATTATGTGAAGCTGCAGAAAAAAGTATGTACAATGATAGAGTCAAATGGTAAGCATGCCACACAATATTATATGGCTCCGAATACATAGCTAGTATGAAAATCATGTTTGTATTTTTTTCTTGTGCTACCCTGCCCTTTAAATAACCACCCAACATGAACATATAATAATACTAATAATTTGCCTTACATGCGGTTAAGAGTCCCACATCGGATAATAAATGGCCTAAACATGTCTTTATAAGTGGATGCAATCCTCACCCTACAAGCCGGTTCTGTAGGGCTGAGTTAGGCCTAACTATATTTCTTAACATATGCTAAAGATGGCCTAAACATGTTTTTATAAGTGGAGGCAATCCTCACCCTACATGCCGGTTTTGCAGGGTTGAGTTAGGCTTAACCATATTTCTTAACACATGCTATAAATTATCTGGTCTTGTAGAATAGTAAAATATTTTGGTTGACATGTTTGTCTGCTTCCATTTCTTCAGCAAAATAAACAGATTTTAACTGATGCTGTTGTACACGCTGTGAATGAGGACTATGCTGAGATGGCTAATGATTTCACCAGATTAGGCTTCCTGGCAGCAGGGACTGATGTCTCTCCAATAGTTCCTGCTTTAGAAGCAATTTGGCAGGACTCTTCTGGAAAAGGATTGGCAGATTTTAACTTTCGTAGTGTCACTGGTAGGCATTTTCACTTCATCACTTAATAAAAACAGCTATTGCAATGTGACCATCTAGGTTATAGGGTTTTAGATGAATGTGGTTTGATATGATCGATTGATTGTTATTATCATTATTTTATACAAAAGACTCCGAATCTTAATGAAACAAACAAGGAAACAGATCATAATAAATTGATAATAACAAATAAATATGAAAACTTATCTTCAGAAATACTGTAAGATACTCTAAGATAAGAAACTAGTTTTAGATAATCCCAAATATTCTTTGATTCTAACAGTGACCATTTTATCCAAACTCCAATGTTTTTTGTGATAAATTTTCTCAATTTGGATTAAATTCTTTTCTATATTGTCAAACGGTGAATTTAAAATAACAAGACAGTATGTATACTGCCTGAATCTGAAAGGAAGGAATCCAATCAAGTTAAGGATCCTAGTTACAGGTTATGTGACTCTTGTTTCGTGTTACCTCTTAGCTTTCTTAAGTGATAAAGTGCAGAGGTCCGGATATTACAAAGAAGGGACAAATCTGTTGCCTTATGCAGGAATAAAGATGTAATTTACTTTATATATGTTTTTGAACCCAAAATAGGATTTGGTGTTAAGAATTCATCGCAATCTAGGATTTAGTAGTTATCTGTTGTTTTTGCGCTGTAACCAATGTGTCAATGAAGCATCATTCACGGAGTCATGGTTTTTCAAATTATTTATGTTTTTGAGACTTTTTTTAAGGAATACAGGAAGGAGAAGCTTTTTATCATGTACAATTTCTTAAACTCTTAACTGATATACTAATGAATATACTGCAGGAAAGTTTAACCAGTTGGTTTACAATTATCCCATTCGAATCCCAGAAAGGTTTTCACTTGTAATTCGTTCTTTATTGACTCAAGAGGGCATCTGTTTTACTCTGAAGCCCGACTTCAAATTTCTTGAGGTAAAAGTTCCCATTTCTGACCTGTCCAGATTTCAAGTTTATTTAAAGGCTGCATGCAGTTTATTTTAAGAATTGCAATTTTTTCTTTTATAAATAATGTTGCATTTATAGAATGAAGTCGGTTTCATAATACGTGTTTGAACAAAAATAATTACAAGTACTTAGCCACATAACTTTGTTATTGTAAATAAAAAACTATGTGCCAACTGTCATAACTGTCCCTTTTCTATCATGCCTTATTTGTCACTACAACATTAACCTCAGTGTGTCAAACAGGTTGCCTATCCATATGTGGCTAAGCGATTACTAACAGATCCAAATCCAGCTCTACGCGAACGACTCATACAGGTTAGTAATGCTGTTCAAAGTGCATAGCCTTACTTTTATGAATATAATATATAACTACTATTCTGTCTAATCTACAATCATCAATTAAAAAATGCTCATTCTTGGTATTCTATATTTAAATTTTTGAATCTATATCAACTATCATCTGTTTTGTTTGGAAGGGGGTGGGGGAGGTTGGGAAAAAAGGTCGACCTAGGCATTCCACGGTTTCGTACTGGCATGAATTGATGCCAGTTTATCCATTATATTCAAATTCATGTGCCAAGGGTACTTTGTCATCATGTTCATTCTAGATAAATCAAGTTAGAAGTAATGGATTTAATTTTGAAGAATGTGTACTATGCCACCATTTATGTCTTTTGGTGTGGCTAAATCTACTCGTTATCTTACTTTACTTGTATTATAGACTTATAGTAGTGGCAGATTATTTTGTTGAATCATGCTAGCAATACACTCTTTTCAACAGGCACTTTTATTGGTTAAAGTTCCACGTGGTTCCACTAAATTTATGTAGGGCCAACATGAATTAATGGAATCCATTTGAATTTCAACCAATAGAAGAGTTTGTGTTGGGAAGAGTGTGTTGCTATCACTCTTTTTATTATGTTATACTGCAATATGGAAATAATAAAAACACTTTTCAAGCTCCTTCCTTAAACATGTAAAATATGTGGGCACACAATTCAGTCAGTTGAGCTAGAAACTTAATTTGCTAGTATGTCCCTTTATTCTCTTCCTTGCCACCCGTCGAAGCACTAAATTTAAGTGGTCCAGACTCCAGTGGTCCTTTACCTATGTGGAATTTTCATTACACTTCCTGTGAAATTTTTTAATAATCAATATCTGTCACTGTTTTCCTTTAAGAATTGGAATCCCAACCTATCTATACAAATATATAGTGCTTGTCGTTTGATATCCTTAACTTAATGTTTCAGGTTTTATTCAAAGATGGTCTTTTCCAATGGAAGCGGCTTGAAAACCTTATTGTTCTTGCAAAGGAAAACGTGGCCAAGATGAGCAGCAATCCAGCATTGCAAGTGAGAAACAAGTATGTATTTTATTATAACATAATTGCAAGAACATAATCTGCATTTCATGTTTAGCTACTTCCTTGCATCATCCAGTGATACTCACTATACCATCTATCCAGGCAATCCCAGAGAAACTGGAAAGTTGCCAAAAAACTGGACCTTACAGACACAATCAAAGACGGAGCTCGCCTTTTCTTTGTTGACGAAGGAATCCGCCGGCAGCTTCTACTTGCTTTGACCGAGGACTCAAAGCTTCATATAGAAGAGGTTTGTCCCAATGACATCTGTCATTTTCCTCTCCCTTAAAGCTCATAATCATAATATTTGATTCACTGCAATCATGCAATTAGAGTCATTGGATGAAATATTGGACAACTCATATTCAATATCACCAAAATGATTTATTTTGCTAAACTGTTGTAATTACGGCCTTTGAGGACCTAATGGGTTATGGGTGCCTCGGAGTATCACCACATGCTTAGGTCCTCTGGACCTGCTATGGTACTAATATCCGAATTGGCAGAGCGATGTCCGGTTTTTACAGAGTTAGGATTCCATGTTACCAAGTACACCTGCCGACACCGTGTAATACAAAGAGTCAAAATGAGCATCCAATGGTCCTAATCACATGACTGCAGTGGCTGCATCTTAATATGATTGTGTTGAATCCAAATCATATCGTAGAGAATCTGACTTGTGTTCTATACAGCTTGTCGATGTGTATAGGTTGGTTGAAGATCAAATAGATATACCCTCGGTGGCTGTAGAAGTAGCTCGAGGTAAAATTCTTGTGCATCATGTAATTGTCTCAGTTCAGTTGTTATATGCAACGCATGAAGCAAACTTAATATAAATATCTTTCTGGTGTAGACTTCCCAACTGTTGTCAGGGATATCCTACTTTCATGGAGCGCGTCCGTCTTATCCGATAGATAGTTGAATTTTTGGATGGCCCTTAGCAAATACAAATATTGTTACAGTCAGATGAGTATACTTCATACATGTCTTATATTTTTATTCTTGAATACCAGCATTTGTTGGTAAAGGAAATAACTAGTACATTTGTATAGGAAACAATATATTGCTTGGTAAATATCAAGTTGAAATTTCAAAGAAATAAATAAAAAAATACATGTAAATAATTCTCGAGCTTCTTTCAACATATGTTACTCTTTCAGTTCTTTAAACTTCTGTTGCTGCTAATTGATGTTAATATTTTTTCCAATTTTATTCAAGTTGAGAACTTGAGCTTGTTTATTATTTGTGTCGTGGGGTTTCAGCATATAGTTTATTTATTTCAAGGTTGAAGCTTCACAAAATTCAGTGTTAAACGAGAATGGATACTCTCAAGTGTGATTTACACTTGAGAGAGTAAACACCATTAAAACCTGAAAAGTGACTGTATAACGCAAAATCAAACTAGCTCATAGTGTGAAAAAGCAAAGTCAACTTCGACTCGTTGAGTTTTAAGGATTATCATACAATTATTTGTGATGTCTATTCAGTTGACTATCTGATTATAATAATTTTCATAAAAATAGTATATGGCATTGGCAATTGGCAACTTTAAGAAAATAAAAGGTTATGACTGTTGTAACCTCGTATGATGGAGTGTTACTTTAATTAATTAAATATTTTTTTTTCTTTTTAAATTATGCATCTTGAAAAATAAGCTTAATCTATATTTGGTTGACGGTTGTTGTTGTTTAATAGTGATAGTATTTTTGTTTTTGGAAGAGTCCGACTTTATTTATCTTTCATTAAGCCTTTATTTGGGTTTGTTTGGGAGTTTTGGAGGAGAGAGAAAGTGAGAGTTTTGAAAAACAAATTTTAAACAAAATATAGATAAAGCTTTAATATATTTTAGATTTTTTTTATAGAATATAAAATAGTGTTTGTCGTCAATATATTTTTTAATTTTTGAATTAAAATAAATCTCTCAAAATCTTCCCTGCCTAATTTTTTTTTTTACTTTTTATTTAATCCTTTCTTTTTTTTTCAAAGTCAACCTTTTTTTCCCTCTTAATTTCAAACAAAGTCCAAATATCTTTTTTTAAATAGGGAATTACTTCTCATGAATTTTTTTTTAAAAAAAAATTAAAGATATATCTATGGACACACCTCAAATGCACACAATTCATATTGATTTTGAGTCATGTCCCAATTTTGTGTATATTTTAATATCGAAAATGTATCTCCGTAATTCTTACGGAAGTGTATTTCTAGAACATGTTGAAGCAGAACGAACTAGAGAATCAGAAAGATGTAGTTTGACCAAATAAAATTAGCATCAATAACATAAAAAACAAAGGTAATCGTTAACATAAATTAAATATTACATTTCAATATCCACGTGAATTTTCTAACATATTCATAATATCTTCGATCGATCTCGAAATCGCATCCACCTCGATCAGAATTTTTGTTTTGAAACGAAAAAGTATTCTATATAGCTCTTAAATCTGTACACGATTTCAGCTCAAAGTTGTTGAACTTAATCTTTTTTTCATTGTTAATCGACAGTGAACAGTACTCGAGCTTCACAATTTTTCGATTGTTGGTATATGGTAGGAGATTCTGTATTATATATTTCAGATCTGTAAGAGAGGTGTACTCATTGATCTTAAATTCAATTGAGGGTTTCACGTCGTTAAATTATAAATTTGTGACATGCCAATTGATGTTCATTCTAGTGTAATGTATTTAGTATGAAACATGAGACAAGAGCCCGTACTTATAGTAGTTGTGGAAAAATATGGACTTCAAAATTTCTATCTTGTATCAGAGATGTTCCAATGATGCATTTTAGAAACCATCTTGTTATGTTATTCCGGAGATGAATTTACAGAACCTCTCAGAACTGGAATTATTTTTTAGACAGAAACAATGATTGTATTAAATGAAAAGTATTTTTTGAAAACATAAAAATATATTTAAATATTCGAAAATGTATATATTAGACATCATTAATATTAATACAAGATTACATAAAATACATTGTTGAATAAAAATTTAAAGTGAACTGAAACATGTGTCACCGACTAAATCTATATTTATGGGCGATACCCCTTTTGACTTTTATATATTTAATTCTCTTTCAATCTCGCTCAATTTGGTGAACTCTTGAATCCTTTCCACAAAATGGTCGGGCCAAGTCTTAACTTTTGTTGTTGAGAGTTGTTCACTCTAGTGAAGTTAGTGGTGTTGGGCATTTTGTTTCAAATAAATTTGAACAAAGTATCGCGGATTTGAAATCTACCCAATACACATAATATGATCATTTGGATTTTGAGGCGGGAAAGTGTGCAGTGGACAAAATGTTTTCGAAAAATAGTATACTGTAAGATCATTACACACTATTTCATGCATACTTTCTATGATATGATCCATTTTAGAGAAGCACATCCATTTGTCCTCTGGTGCCGACCCACTAATGCAAGGAATAAGAGATTTATAAATTGCATCGAAATTTTATTTTTTTTCCCGTATAGACGCGTGTATGATTCCTTTTTTGAAGAAATTGTCCACCGATATAATCCGGTCCTCTCTTCTTGTAATAAAATGATTAAACCTAAAAAATAATAAACGGTTAAATAAGCCTGAGGTGCGTAAGTGTTGAAATATTAAATTAAATTTGTTAAAATATTAGATTAGATTGGGTTTGATAAGATTTAATATTTACATATAATCCAAGTTGTGTAGACCCAAGCCTAATTAGGGTTGTATATAAATAGTCCTAGTCTGTATCATTATTTGTATAATTTAATAATATAAATCTTTATTTTCTTTATTATTCCCTCTTTCTCTCCTCACTAAAGTGCCTCACGCACTAACAAATTGGTATCCAAAACTTCTGGTTATTGTTCTTGATCGAGTTTTCAAGAATTTCACATAAGAGGTCGTGTTTCTAGGACAAGTAAATCAATCGTTGCGAAGATGGCTAGTGATAAGGGCATTACAAATTCTCTTCCAATGCTTAACAGTAAGAATTGGATCCAATGGAAAAAATAGAGCAATCCTCGTTTGACTTCCATGAAATCCTAGAAGTGGTTACTAACGACGTTCCTGCGTTGGTTGCAAATGCAACCGACAAACAGAAAAAAGCCCACAATAAAGTCAAGAAGAAAGATTGCAAGGTTACTTATTGCATTCAGACGATAGTCGATGCTGCTAATTTCGACATAATCTCTCATGCTGAAACGACGAAGGAGGCATGGGATATTCTGGTGAAGTATTACGAAGGAGGTGAGAAAGTCAAGGTTGTCAAGTTACAAACCTTGTGCCGACAATATGAGTTGTTGTCGATGGGAGAAGATGAAAAAGTTGTATAATATATGTTGAAGGTTTAAAAACTCATCCATCTCATGAAGAGTTGTGGTGAAACCATAACTAATAAGATGATAATTGAGAAGGTAATGAGAATGTTGACCTCTCACTTTGATCATGTTATCGTAGCTATTTAAGAATCCAACAATCTTGAAACCACTAAAGTGGAAGATTTGGTTGGTTTATTAGAGGCGCGTGAGATAAGGATTGTCGAAAGGAAATGAGTGCAAGACTCGATACATGATTTGCAAGCATGGTCATGGAAAAATGATGGTGGTTCCAAAAAATTCAAAGGCAAGTTCGACAAGACTCAGGGAAAGAAGTATTGGTCGAAACCTCACAAACATCAGGTCGAAGATGGAGCATCTGAATCCTCGAAAGGAGGAGGAGGAAACTATCGAAAGGGAAAAGAAGATAAAAAGGTGTGTAGTAATATAACTGTGAAAAGTGGGGTCACATAGCCAAGAATTGTTGGTACAGAAAAGACAAGGGATCGACAAGCAAGGACGAAGGAGCGAACCTTGCACGTCAAGATTCAGATGATTCTGAAGGTGGTATGGTAGTTATGGCTGCAGTTGCAGATAACCACGTCAAATCCAAAATCTAGTTTCTCGACTCAGGCTGCTCGAACCACATGACTGATCGAAAGGAGTGGTGGGTAGATTTTGACGCGTTGAAGAAGAGCAAGGTAAAACTTGTTGATAATAGTTTATTGCAAGCTGAAGATACTGAAAATATAGTCTTTCAAATGAGTAATGAAGGGAAAGATATGATCAAAGATGTGCTTTATGTACCTGGAATGAAGTGCAATTTGCTAAGTGTTGGACAACTAGTCGAAAAAGGTTTCTCAGTTGTCATGAAAGATGGAGTTTTGAAATTGTCCGACACCAAGAACAATTTGGTCTTAAAATCTTTGTTGTCGCATGTGATACGGTGGGAGAACTGACTTGGGATTTTGCGTTTGTGTTCGCAAATGTTTCGGTTTAGCAAGAGTCACCACCGACTTTTTATTTTATCCTAAGAAAAGGCCAAAAAGCACAGGAAAGACCTTTGAGATGTTTTCTTGGGTTCGGGGAGTAGATTATAGAAAGGGAAGGTATTAGCACCCTTTCTATCCATGGTTATCCATGGGCTCTTAGTTACTTGCTTAGATCACTTGCTTTACTTTTCAATTGTTTGAAATGGTGCTCTTGTGTGTGATTTTGAAAGATGTTTTGAAAAGAGGCCATCGTTGTGGCAACCTTTGTAATGATTCTTGTTTGAATGTATACAAAGGTGTTTTTGTCTTTTGAAAAGTTTTCAATGTTTGAAAGTAGGGTTTTGAAATTGTGTTGTGAAGTGTGTTTTGAAAAATAGCAAGGATGTTTTTGCAAGCTTGATCAAGTAACTAAGAGTTGGTCTAGCCTATTTTACTCAAAGATCTTTCTTATGTTTTTAACCCTTTTAACAGTGTTGTTTCACCATTGCATTTGGTGAACAACCTTGTGTTAGGATGTTAACGGGACAGGAACGGGTCATCGTATAGACCATGATAGCAATGGTGTCAAGTATTTTTGGCAATTTTCTTTAAGGGACTTGATCATTTTGTTTAGGCAACTCAGATAGCATCA